TGTGAGCACGATTAAGTCCTTCCTGTCTATTGCAACTTCTAGTAGCTGCTAGCAATCCTTGGAGTTCCTGGGCTTATAGTTGCATCTATCTTCATCATTGTCTTCTTCTCGCCTCCCGTTTGTGCATTTATCAGAGAGATAGATAATATATCTTAAGCACAGCTGGTGGGAATGGAAGTAGAACCATTTTGGAGAACAGTACGGCAAGAAATAATGATAAGGCCTTCAAAATATCAGTAATTAACATTTGCCCCAATATTCGACCTAATAACTCACATACTGCTTTCCAAAATGGTTCTATTTACATTCCCACCAGCTGTGTTTAAGAGTTCCCATTAACCTGTATCTTTGAGGGATATTTTATTTTAAAAGTCTTTGCCAATTTTTAAAATTTTTTTATTGTGTTTTAAGTGAAAGTTTATAGCACAGATTAGTTTTTCATTAAAAAATTTATTCACAAATTGTTTTGCGACATTAGTTGCAATTCCCACAATGTGTCAGCACTCGCCCCCTTTCCGTTTCCACCCCCGGTTCCTCTTGCCCATTCATCCAGTTTTCCTGTCCCTTCCTGCCTTCTCATCTTTGTTTTTGGCCAGGTGTTGCCCATTTCGTCTTGTATACTTGATTGAACGAAGAAGCATGTTCCTCACGTGTCATTGTTAGTCTTTGCCAATTTGATGGGTGAAGATGAAATTTAATTATTGTTTTATAACTAGTGAGGTGAAATATTTTTTTGTTGTTTATTGGACATTTATCTTTCTATTGATAACTGGCTTGCTTTGTTTCCTTCACCGCTAAGTGTGGGCGAGTTAAAATTTTAGCTGATGTCTACACAGATTAAGCAAAAGGGTAATTTAAGACTATGATGCTAAAAGTCAAGTAAAATTCTTGCTATCAATGGCAAGTAAAGTTAGGCTCTGAGTTCTCTAGATCAATCTGTTGGAATTTGATTTCAATTCACTTTCTTAATTTCAATGTAATGGTATTTTCCCTTCAAATCAAATGTAGCTGTAGCAGGAAAGACCTGCTTTCTAGTTCCAGGTACACCATTTAGGCTTTAGGCATATTTAGTATTTAAGGGGGAGCATAGGATGAGTTCCTGGCCAGTATCAGCCTGACACTTCAAACCATTTCCACTCAACGTTGACTCAATTATCCTTCAAACCATGGTTCTTCTCATAATCTATCCATCTCCTCTTTTAAGTATACCTGTATATCAACATGTAATGGTAGGCCTGCCTGTACATTTTAGTGGGTGATACAGAATCAAGAAGAATTGGAAGAGCTCTTTGCTGGACCCAGTACTGCTAGTTATCTTCCTTGTTATGGCAAGTAACTCACTTCTCAGAGCCCTTCTTTTTCCTCCTCTGCAAACAAAGGGTAATAGTATCTACATTTTCCCACTCAGAAGATTATTGTGAGGCACATGGGAGATGAAATGGG